AGGTCACCTCCAATTTGGTTTTTTTTCGATCATGACATGATCATCATCAAACTTTTCTCCTTGGGGAGGGTTGCAAACCTGTTTGGATTATTTGGATCCTAAGGGTGGAATTGGAATAGCTTAAAACAACAATAATGATTTAGGATTGGGTATAAGATCAAAGGTTGACAGATAAGGCAAATCTCTTCAATTCTGAGTAAAATAGAAGACTGGTCAATCACTGCATTTCTTCATTCACAAAGACATCTAGTGCAAAGCCTTCCCAAGGAATTGAAAAAGAGAGGATGCCAAATGAGAACTCCCAATTCAATTAAGTGTGAGACATATGTGTTAGTAGTTGAACAACCTCTCCTTCTGTTTTAAAACAATCTTATAATAGATACCCAAGGATCTTGATACTGAAATTATCGCAGATTTGTAAGAGCTGAAAAAAGGGAAAAAAGTACTTTTAACACAATTGCATTCATAGAGACAACATTTGTTCATTCTCAACTGACAAATAAATAATGCCATGGGTTAAATTGTGTTTCTCCGAGTTGCCCTAGCAATTACCTGAATAATATTACAATATATGGAGGTCTTTCCTCACCCAAGGAGTTCCCTATGATCCATCAGGAGGACCCATATGCCTAAAGATTCAGATCCTAATTAGTTCCTTTTCAGTGAAATAAATAAAGAGAGACAGAGACACACTTTTATATAAGCGTCATAATCAAACTCGGGTGCTCTTTCAATCTCATCCCTCGGCATCCACCAATCCAAACATGCCATTAACACATATTGTGCCATCAAAACCACACACATCACTTTTCCAAACACCACACCTGAGCCATAATGTCTGCAAAGGATTCTTAATTCAATTCTGACTGATATAACCTTTGACAAAAGTAACAAAGAAAATAGATAAACCTTCTCAATCGTTCAACCAGCGGACATGGTTCAATTTCCATTGCGTCTCCATAAACTTTCTCTGTTCGAATCGCCACATCTGCCCAACTATACATACCCTTGACGCGCTCATGAACTTTGATAGGATCATGCTTTCCAGAACAAATAATATCGATTGCCCGATCAATAGCCCTCACAAGATCTGCAATGGAGTCCTCCTTGAAATATCAGTAATCATATTTGACGCATACATTCATTCGAAATTTCAGTTGAAAAAACATTCACCTTCGACCTCAGGCTGAGCAAACTCGATCAATCCATCAGGTAAAACCTCAGGGATACCTCCAACATTGGTAGAAACCACAAACAATCCAGCACAAGCTGCTTCAAGGATTGTCATCCCAAATGCTTCGGTTAGTGAGGTATTTAAGAAGATTTCACCTCTTACTAATAGATCTCTAACTTGATCTGATCGGATTGGTCCTAATAATTCAACTTGATTAGGTGAAATCACTGATTGATGTTTTTCTTTCATTTGTTCTAGTTCGATCATTTTTGGTCCATCTCCTCCTAGGAAATCAGAAATCATAGAAAAGTAGATTTCACTCAAGTCAGTTAATGGCAAACATTAGTGGGTAGATGCTCATGTTGTGATGCGCAGTATTGAAAGAAACACCAACCGATCAAAAATTGAACCTCAGGATGTGCTGCACACACTTTTGGAATGGCTGCTATCAAAAGATCGATACCCTTTCGATAAGCCAGCCTTGAGACACAAACAATCGTCACTACGAGATCCAAGAAAAGTAATTCATCAGATCTTGTAAGCATCCAAAATTTAAAAATCGAACTCTTACTCACATGGACCTCCTTTGTATAAAGGTTTTCCTGAGTCCGGCTTAAAGCTATCGGCAACAATTGCATTCGGGATGACGTAAACCAAATCTGGGTTCAAAAGAGCTCTCAAAACCAAGTTTTCTTTTCTGAGAAATGACAAACAAGTTGATGAAGATCAATATCAAAGAACTTTCAGTTCCATGAGACGTCAGCTCAGGCTCAAAGAGAACGTACCCAGTATGGCTTACACAAATGACTGCTTCTATATCACTCAGGATACCCTTGACGATTTTATTTCCAGTGACTTCTCCCCATCCACCTCCACCCAAACCAAACAGTGAATGATCGGTGAAGACAGTCCGAATACCTACATGTAGGGTTTTCGCATGCATCACTGATTCGAGCCCTAGTGAGCTCATGGCTTGATGAGCATGAAATATTTCGATCCTTTCCCGAATCAAGATAGTCCGAATCAGAGGTAGACAACAGAATAGGTTAGGAAGTGTCGCAGCAGAACTTGAAAATGGGAGTGTGCCTAGTGGGATATGGTAAACTTTGAGGCCAGCTGGTAGGTGTCTGATTCCGCATCTGTTACCATAATCATGAGTGATGATAATGACCTATGACGATGATGATGAATTAGCGATTTACCAAACAAAATTGTACCTTTGGTAAATGAAAGTTTAACATGAGAGTAGTGCTAGATGACCTAAAACTCACTCTGTGACCCCGTTTTATCAATTTCTGAGCTAAGATATAGATATGAGATTCGACACCACCGAGGTTGGGGAAAAAGTAATCGGATGCCATACTAAGTCATCGATCGATCGATCATCCACCCAAAGTAAACGAAAAGGAAGGGGGTATCAAGTCAATAACTTTCTTCGATGAGATAATTGTCTGTCACACGATCGTCAGGCTGATATACTCAATCAGACATTCGTTAGAAACCTGCCAGGATTGATATCACTCTGACGCGATTGTGTACGGACGTATGGTAGGATAAGGACCATCAATCAGAGTAGCTGGATCGTATTGGATGAGCTTCTCGGTCTTCACTTTTTCTGATTTCCCGGAATCAGCTTCCTCGATCGAGTGTATTGATGTCATAGGCTGTTGTTCCAAACAAGTCGAAGTCGTCGAAGAATCACATCGAAGTTCACGGCGAGTCGAAAGTTACCATTGAGAATGCGCGGGAGGTCTCATGCTGGATTCAGGCAGCGATGGATCCCAAGACATTGAGACCCGGACATGGGCTAGGGTTATCCCTCACTCTTTCCCACTTCAACTTCTTGGACAACGCCCAGACGGTAGATCTGCTGAGCCGTACATAGACATCTCCTCACATTGCGCGCCACATAGTTGTGCAACGACACTTCTTTTAAAGATAGTGCAAGGTGGTGTCTGTGCTTTGGATCACTTTCTCTTGTCAACAAAAAGCCCTGCAATGGAAACTATTCACGAATAGATTCCATAGTCTCTATAGCGAAGCTATGAACCTATGTTCCGAATCATCTATGATTGCAACACGGAGCATCTAGTTATATAGTTGTCGTACATCTAAGCTCTAGGTAGCTTGACAGAACCCTTGATCAACGATTAGATGATACATCTAAACATTTGGCTCTTGAAGCGCTTTCAAATCCCATCCCCATCAAACATCACTTCCCTAATCCCACGCCAAACAGGTAAGATATATTCGAGTCGAGGTCGCAAAGCCTACCAATCAATCATCCGTATGAAACATCAACAAATTACTTTTTTTTCCGGTATGCTCCACATATGACTGACCCTAAAGATCCGACGAACTTCCATCTCTACCATATCACCAGTCTTACCTCGATCAATCACTATGGCAAGGTAAAATTCCACATTCCAACAATCTATGGCTTCATGAATGATGACTTGTTGTATATGAAAGGCTGGTACAAACTCGCGTCGAGTGCCAAGTAGAGTAGTTTGACTGAGTTGGATCCCCAGCGTACCTAGAACAAGTACTGTCTCTATCATTTGTGTTTGGTATCAGATTAAGATCATACTAATTCTTCTTTTGGAATTACTAGCGACATACCTGATTGGACTTGACTGAGCTTTGAGTAGGTCCAATAACTTAATATGATGAGATTAACGAAGCTAAAGATGGATGGCCAAGTCTTCTCTTGGACAAAGATCAGTATGGGTTGTCAATATGAATTGGGTATCACATTCGACTTGAACATTCACATACCGTCAACGCGAAGATAGTGCTAGACAAAGCAACCATGAATGCATCGACCAATCCATAACGTCTGTCTGGTGCTCGAAGGGTATAGCTACGGGTACTTGGTCCGATTTTTTGAACCGAAAGAAGCGGAATAGACGAAGGTGGAGTGACTGGGTCTGAAGGCATTCATTCCGTGATAAAGGTCGAGTCAAGAATTGATGAGCATAAGGATGAGGACTGGACTGTTTGACGAGTAACGACTTGGTGGTCTTGTTTCTTTTTTGGCGGTGGTGCTGAGCAATGCCATACTTTGGTTTAAAGAGCATAGCATGGGTTTAAAGAGGTTATGCCTTTACCAAGTGACCCTTCCAAACACATACATATTGGTCAAGGCCATGAAATTGCATCCTCTCTCATCCCCCCAGGTTTGGGAAAATGTCATTACCCAAAGGGAGATTTCGGGTTGAATTTTTTGAGACACCTTTAGGGCCCGTTCACTTAAGCAATTTCTGGTGAGAAATCACATTCTGCAAAATTTAAAGTGTCTATTTGGTGGTGCATGTTTCATTTTTGCATTAAAAAATTTACAGAATGTGATTTCTGGTCAGAAATTCCTTAAGTGAACGCACCCTTGATCACAATATTGCTGAAATCTTCTGAGAGGATGAGAAGGTAAGATGAGATGTGAGCCCGATGATCTGAAAAGGGACGATTCAAAATGGTCTGAAGCGTGCAGAACATCAGATGTTCTTTATTGGAAGAACCATATAGCTTTTCTTCCTTGTTTCAAAACAACCAAAAGATATTTAAGCAGGGAACCCTGACCGCTGATCATCATCCTAGCCTTACCATGCTTTATTGTTTTTACAAGTCTACATCTTGCTGCATCTTGTCACTATGAACTTACTCAACACCTTATCTTTCAGGATCTACATCCATCCCATCAATTCTTTCATACTTCTATACAAAATGGTATCAACTAATTCTCAATCATAAAAGAAGTGATGCAAAAATAACCCAAACAAAAAAGAGTCTCACAATAAGGTTTCAAGAAAAAAAAATTTGGACGGGGTTAAACTAAAACTTCGGTTAATTGTTCAGAAGACGAGTTTGCTAAACGTTCGTGTTCATCTATATCTGTTGCTTCCCATGGATACTACATCATTAATCCAACTTCTTGTTAGTTAACTTTTGCGTTTTTTTACAATTTTAAAGATTAGATTCAGATCAGAATTCAACTCACATCAACCCATTGATCGCCAATCGTCTTGCCAGCGAAATACTTGACATGATCTGGAATCTGAGCAGACTTGGGTTTATCTTTATTATGCACTGTATATAATCAATCAAGTCAACAAGCGGGTCAAAGGAACTTGCTTGGAAGGATCCCTCAAGTTAAAAAAGGTTTCACTAACCAACAAAGATAGCAAATTCAGTTGGATCCAACTTCTTTCTTTCATCCTCACTCAATTTCTCAAGTTGAGCTTTCACATCTTTCTCTAATTCAGCCACTGCATATGATAAAGTCGTTCGGGTATCATCAACTTCATCCTAAGTTTAAAAGTTCATTGAGAAGAAGAAGCAGAATTGATGAGTTGAGTCTGAGATTCAAGGGTTTTTTTGGAATCGAGGTGAGAAAGTTCACTTACAACTATCAAGATCCGTCGACCGAGTAAGGGGGTATGTCCAAGGGTCGAGAAATCTAACCTAGATTGATCATCATAAGTCTATTGATCTTCATATAAGATATTATAACTTGAACACAAAGCTAACCATTGTGTTCTATGTATGCAAAAAAACAAATTTGTTAACTTTGATGGTGATGTGTCTCTGATTTAAGTTCTTGTAACTTACCTTACCACTTCTTTTCCAACCTTTTGCTCAGTAGATGGTAAACCATTTGTAAGAGCTGTACCAAGTTCCTCATACAAAGATAATCCAATAGCCTAACCAAGTCATCGAAAATGACATGAGTTCAATGCGAAAAAAACCCCGATTTAAGGATTTTGAGGAACTTTTGGGTTGGTTTCTTACCTGGATTGGAATATTCTTTCGACATGGAGTTTTAAGAAATGTACGCTGAAAAAAGTATAAATGAAAGATTTTGTTAGCTGGTTGTGTTGTAAACTATAAGAATCACTAGATGGGACTTTAGGTAAGAAAAACGTACAAGAACTCGGGCTGGAAAAAATCCTCCTCCTCCAATAGCAATCATAATATCGGGACTATATAAAAAGAGATTTTAGTGATTCAATCAATTTTTTTTGAGATCAAAGAACCATTAAGACCAGAAAAAATTGACTGACCCGAATTCATCACGGATTTTAGTAGCAGTTGATCTGATCGTACGCTAATGATGATAAATGATGAATGATAAACCATTTGATGAGTTTTTTCTTAATCTTAACTTATCTTTAATCATGAAAAACATCAAATTAGGCTTACATGGATTTCGTTATAAGTTATTCGAACATCTAAGATCTTAATCAAACCAACTCAGCTTTTAAGATATAATAGGTAATCGATTAAAGAAAACCAAATCAATAAGCCAACTTACGTCCGTCATGGGTAGACATTTTTTTGCAGATTTGGTTTATTTAGAATGCGAGTGAGATCTTTGAAAAGCTTTCTCTTTCGTCGGTCTTTGTTTTGCTTGATAAGATCACAGCCATTTGCATCAAGATTGTCAGGGTCCCGGCCCCGTAAGCTTGACTAAAAGCCCCTCGAATGCGCGTTCGCCGCGACGGCCCCGTGGTTTTCTCTGACCCGAGACAAACTTACCATTGGCATTCCACCTCAGGATGAGCCCCGGGCAGTCGGGCTCGGGGACCGGCCAGAACGACCCACCGAGCAAAATCTAAGAGCCCTGCCCGGCTTCCGAGCCGAACCCGCCTCGACGGGGACTCTTCCCCGGACACGTAGACCGGTCCCCGCCACCGAGAAAACGGTGCCCTACCGATATGTCGGTTCTCCGTCAAGTCCCCGCGAGTTCTCGATTGGACTGACCTTTTCCTGGAAATATTTCAACATGAAAAGCTTGATTGGTGAAGTGCCCGCTGCTACCCATGGCTGATCATGCATGTATAAAGGCAGAACCTATAGCTGTGATTGAATGATGTCCATCTATTCAGTTTCATCTCCTCACCTTTCCCTCACCTATCGATCATGATTCTTTCGTCATCTCGATTTCTAACTCTTTATCGTTTTTATTATCTTGATATTTAATTCTTTATTGTTTTTATTATCTCAATTTGTAACTCTCTTTGAACACTGTTAATCGCTTCCTTGTATGTATCAACTGCTTGTTCACCCATCCTTGCTTGAATATGTATCATAACTGTTCATAATCTATGTACGGTTTCTCGGTTCTCCGAGAAAAATCGGGGATCTTGATACCTCAGGCCGGACCCCGATCCGACGGACCCGGGTCGGTGTCGGGGCTCTCAGAGCTCTAGCCCGGCTACCGTATCGACGGTACGGTAGACCGGGGATCTCCGCCTCCGCCGGAGCCGGGGCTCATCCTGAATTCCACCACTGCCAACAATTATTGATGCGATTCTTTTGGATCGATTCTGATCGATTGCTACATAAACTCAAATCTGTTGAGATGAAACCATTAGGATGATTCGAAGAGATCTGCCCCAAGATTGAACATAGTCAAATGGCCAAGCCTGAACCCATGCTGTTTAAAATCAAGCGTTCAATCTGTGAGGACCATGTGTGATTTTTAAATTGATTGATAGGATGCCAAGGATGAATTGAAATGTTTTTGAGACTACGCATTCTGGTATGACTGAATGCCCAATGGGTCAAATTTTGAGAAATCATGAAGAACCAGTAAGCCTGGCGTTATATCCCCAGAACTTTTAAGTATGGGGCTCGGTAATGCGACGTATGATTTTGGTGGGACAAAAGATCTGGGAATTCAGACCGTGAGGTTTCTGAAAATCAAATGTAAAGTCCGACGGGGGTCAGCTCACTTTGGGCGTTAAGTTACGTCGTTGTGCTCAAAACGGTGAATGGCTTTGTTGTGGTGATTCGTGGTGACGAAGCCGAAGTAGCGTCGCGGAGTCACCGTTTCGGTCTCAACGTTGAGGACGAGCAACAAGCGGGATCAAACAATTGATCCTTTCGTCGTTGCTTTGACGCTCGAGCAAGCCGCGTTGCAGATGAGAGGTGTTGTGAGTCGGAAACGCGTGGCAGCCCCGCTGCACTCGCACTGGATTCAGATGTTGTGATACGTGCGTTGGACTGACTGGAGGCCCCATTGTGAAGCCGAATCAGATCAGGATACGTGCTGAGTTGTGGTATTTACTCGCTCGACCCTAATTGGTCTGTCGCCGTGTTTCTCGGTACGGACGTCGTCTTCAGGAAGACGGGGGTTAACAAATGTCCGCGATCTGACAAAGCTTTGGACTTATCACTCTTGAGCTCATCGTGTTCGTCACCTTATACTTTGCCAAAATCTGTTGATCTCATCGCCTGTCAGACCTTGTTTCCTAACGAACATGGCACCCTCAAAACCTGGGAAGACCGACGCTTCCAGACCAGCACCGTACCATGACATTCAGCCAAAGGGATCGTCACCTTTGACCTTAATCAAAACCAGCACTGAGGATATCCCTTTCGCAGCCAACATACACGACTGGCTGCCTTACTCACTTGTTCATATCGTGCCGCCACCTGCTGGGTTCGGCCACAACCCGTTATCGAATTGCTTTGTAAGCACTTATCAGCCATCCAAGGTGAAGCTGATGCATTCCTCTCACACCTGCGTTTGTACAACAGTTCGAACAAGCCCAGGAAGCAAAGGCAAAACTAGGAACAAATCATCAAGCTCTCGCCCGTCACTTCCGCTAGGTATCTTTCCCTAACTCTCAAAGTTTCTTGTTTATAATTACCTTCATGTTGTAAATCAGTTTCGACGATCTTTTTTCTAACCGCGTCTCGTTTCTCGAGCGTTCCGGTGCGGCTAGCAGCACTCCTGGGACCTCGGCACAGGCTAGGTGTTATTTTTTCATAAATTTCAATGTATTGAAGTCTTCACCAATCCAGCATCAACGTCGTATTCCAATCCAAGACATTCGTGACCCAGGATGATCTTTCCATCCAACCGAATAAACTCCTGTGCAATCAAATCGACAAGCACAACGTATCCATGAGTGACCACACCACCGTTACCATTAAATTCACGTTCAAATCCTCACCAGCGCAGGGAGACTTGCTCCAGCGCTGCTCCTGTCCAACTCTCTAGTCCACCAACCAAATGAGCTCACACCTGCGTTTGTACAACAGTTCGAACAAGCCTGGGAAGCAAAGGCAAAACTAGGAACGAATCCTCAAGCTCTCGCCCGTCACTTCCGCTAGGTAGTTTTCCTTAACTCAAAGTTTCTTGTTTACAATTACCTTCATGTTGTAAATCAGCTTCGACAATGTTTTTTCTAACCACGTCTCGTTTCTCGAGCGTTCCGGTGCGGCTAGCGGCACTCCCGGGAGCTCGGCACAGGCTAGGTGTTACTTTTTGTCTTAGTGTCCCCTCGGTTTTGATTCTACTCGTTTTTTCATTCCCCTCTCTCTCGTGTATAATTCAAAGTTTGGATCCAGTTGGTGCTCATTTCATTTGCGCGCTGATGGGCTATGCGCGGATTCACTTCCTGAGCGGCAACGCGCCAAAAGCACGATCCGCGCAAATGAGCCTCATTATCGAGGCCCAGGTTTTTCCAAACCCTACCCTTGGTCTTCCTAGACCGAGGGAAACCCGAGGCCAAGGGAAGACGTCTTACCAATCCTTAAACCCTTGGGAGAACCCCTTTTGGATCTCCAAATTAAGATATTCCAATTCCCTTTTGAATAGTTCTGGGGATATAACGGCGTGCGATGAGCATTATCTGTGATTGGAAATGTCAAATTCTACTTTTCAACTCAAAGAGAAAGAAAGTCAGTATGATTTGATTTCAAGTGAAGATGATTCCAATCCAATCCAATGAAATGCTTTAACTCAAGTCTTGATGGATGAGGATTGATGACCAGTTTACCATCATCTTGAATTTCTTTGTACCATCATCCAACTTGAATTCTTCATCAAAAATGCCCAAAGAAAAGAAAAAATTAAAAATCAAAATCAAAATCATCACTTTTAACAAACGTTTATCAAGTAGATTAACTTCATTAAATTCAACTTTCACTTTCAATTCTTCTTCAAAATCTCAATCACTCTATCAATCTATCCAACCTGAACCTGCTTTAACTCTAGACTTACTCGAAATTAAAAACCCAATCAATCTAGATTTACAAAAACTTAAGCCTACTACTAAACCAGAAGTCATCGATCTTATCAACATTTCAATCCCAATCAACTTCCATCCCAAAACAGATTCTATAAATTTAAATCCATTCTGTCCAATTTCAAAACCATCATCTAAAAAGATTCTTCATCGAAGATTCGTTTCATTACCACCTAAGCTTACTACAATCTTTGAAGATCAACTTAAAGAAAAAGAAGAAGAAGAACGTCATACTTGTTTTGTAGAGATCAAAATCATCAATCGGTCTTCAACTTATACTTATCATAGTATTGATGAACCATCCAAAAGACATAAAGGATCATACAGACCTGGTTCAGAGTTCGTAAGTTGACATTTCACCTATTAATCATAATTTTCTAATTCCAAAGAAATCGATTCTTGATGATTGATCCTATGTTTTGGTTTTCCTTGTGATTTGGAATAGATCCAACTACGTGGTACACCTTCTAAGCCTTACCCACATCTAACTGGGGTTTTGAATCCGCCTAAGAGAAAATATAAATCAAGTCCTTTTATGATTAAACATCGTTCTAGATATTCATCATGAAGACTATCAACAAAGGACCAGTTCTATTGATTGATCTACTTGTAATGTAATCTTCATTCAACATATATCATTTTATCTTATCAACTAAGCAAATGACCATCAATCTGTTTTGATTGTATTTTAAGTATGATCCGATTCCAAACTCTTTCAGTTCAAATAATAATGTTTTTTGTAAAGACATCAACCAAAAATCTAAGATTTAATTTCAAAATGTATACATAATCACTTGATTCACTTTTAACTAAATTGTATATAATCTTAACCAAGTTTTGTATCATAAAATCTAATCATGTTTACATACAACCTCGTATCCTAAATAAAATTAATAATGTATATATCCTTTATTCAAAAGAATTGGACAGTTGTTTTGATTTGTTAAATTGAAACATGAAGCATTTTCAAATTGTTGTGAGGAATTAATTATGCATATAAAATAGTAAAGTGATCATGACTTTTACCTTCAGGTTGGACAAACAGATACACTAACTGTAAGAATTAAACAGGTTTATCAAAGTGATCATTGACACCGCGGGAATCATTAAGTGTGAAACCCAATTGAGCAAAGTCGCGGTGTCTGGGTCCGCGACTTTCTTCAATTGTGGATCTTGTTCGCCATAGGTTTGCTATAGGTTTGCTAGCTTGCATTGAGCTGCCCTCGAGTTGTCCGCCTGAGCTGCAGTACATGTTATGCATGTTTTTCCTTTCAATATCCTCAGACCACTCAAGATCATCATGTATGAGTCATGAGCTTTATTATGTATATGTTACAAGAGTCTAGACATATGGTACCTCCATTAGTCCATACTACAGCCTGAGTGGATGACTATGTAGAGGGCAGCTCAAGACGAGCTTGCAAACCTATGGCAAACCTGTGGCAAACGAGATCCGTGATTGAAGGAAGTCGCGGACCCGGACACCACGACTTTGCTCAATCTGGTTTCACACTTAATGATTCCCGTGGTGTGATTACCACATTCGATTTGATCCATTTATCAGAATCTTTTTTTGTTTTTTTTATTGCAATGTTTAAAGTGCCTCCTGAGCCGTAGGCTATCAGGCACTAACTACTTGTGCTCCGCTCCAGTAAAAACCCCTGTGGGGAAAAGGTCACGTGCTGGCTGTTTGAAGTATTACAAGTGTTATTTTTGGAACAGTTAATGGTGCTAAAGGATGGGGTACATTTAGATGTGTGGGGTATGGATAGTTTGGGGAGTGGTTTCATCAATTATTGATGCCCAGACCCATCGGCTCTTTAGCCTCCAGGTTGAGTTAGTGAATTTGGCGATACCTTTGAAGGATTTTGGGTTGTGGAGAATGTCAGTCGATTCTCTCAACTGAAGCTCGTTTATTGATTCAATGAGTTTTGTGTGTTGGTGTTCGTATCTATGACAGATGAATAAGAAATGTTCAACAGTTTCCACTCCTGCGTGGCACTCACATAGGGGGTCAAACCGTTGTTGATGTTTAAATAGGTAAGAATTTAGATGAATGTGATTTGATTGTAATTGTGTAATTGTCGACACTTCGAGTTTGCATAAGTTGCTGAGTGCCTTAAGGTGTTGTTGTTGACATGGCTTGTGGCCCAGCCTCTTGATATCCTCGGGCGTGAAGTTGCTCTTGTCGGCTTTTGACCAAGCCTTGATTGCGGTCGTGAATCCTGCTAGTGATGGTGTAGAAGTGAAGGTACTCGACAGCTCTCTTTTTGCCAAGGCGTTAGCTATTTTGTCAACCACCTCGTTCCCACTTACTCTGCGATGTCCTGGGCACCATCGGATCGTGACCCTTGCATTCACGAAGGTCACAGTTATCAGAATCTACACCACTCTGTCTACTTCTTTGGGATATAAAGACCTGAATCATATTTCAATGAGGAAAATTATATAAAGTGTTTTAATGCATGTAAAATCTTGGAAACAAACCAATCAAATATATACTATGTGCCAAATCTACCTACATATAATAAAGGAAAGTAATTTAAGAAAAAAAAGATTAATACTCACCTGCTTCAATGGCTCTTGCTCTTTTGAGTAGCACCTTTCTGTTCCGGGTCCTCCCACCCTGTGATGAAACTCAGGACATATCACTCTTCATTCAACCTTCTGTGAGTTGAGCCAAGGGTCCTTCTATACCACTAGTGATTTACCACCCGGCTACTTTGATGGCACATGTCTTTTGAGTAATGTTCTTTTGCCCGGGGACTCCCAAGTTGTGATGTAGCACAATGCTTGCTTTGGTTCTGTTGCAAGTAGATACTTTGTGCCCACACACTGATTGCTGGTGTCTGCCAGGTACATCTGTGGATATTGGCATTTGTTTTGTTGCACAATCATGCCTGAACAAGCAACTGTGTGTTTTTTTAGAGCAGGGTTCCAATGGATGTGTTGCCTTGACTCATGCCTGTGTGTCGGCTGGGCGCCAATTGTCTAGTTTACAATAAGAATGATTGGATTATAGATCATAAATTGATGAATTTACAACAAGAATCATCTGAATTAAAAAAGAAATTTAAACAAAATCAAAAAGAAACCATTTGAACACATCAACATTGCCGAGCTCATAAAAGATTTCCTCTCATTAACATCAAGTATGATTTTAAATGCTACTTGGATGGATTAGATTTAGATTTCAAACTAGTTGAGTTTACAGGAGTAGTAGAAGATGATGAGTTTTGATGACAAGGAGATGGAAGTTGAACCCCATATCCAACCCAAGCATCAAGATAACCACAACCATGAATAGGTACATAAAACCCTATAGAATCATTAGATTGAAATCCCACATTCTCATCTACCATAGATGGTGTTGAAGTTGATGGAATTGGTTTCAAGATGATAGGGGGACCAATAGGTGATAATTGAGGTAAATCTTGGGTATTATAACTTTCATGTCCTTCTGGTCCGTTACCTCTAATCTTAGATGGTGGGAATGGTTCGATTGATTCAAGTTCAGTTTGGTTGATCATCCCTGTTGTTGTACTCTTGCCTCCTGTTTTCCATTTTGAAAGTGGTGCTTCATATATATATTGTGGTAAGTTTATGGATAATTCTTTGGATTTCTTTCTACAACTTCCTTGACTAGTTCTAGCATCAGGACTTAATCAAATCAAAAATCATTCATCAGCCAAATCCATCAAAAAATGATCAAACCAAAATCAATTAGAAGAGTTTCTTTTCTTCCCCTTTGGGACGGGGATAGGTTTGCAAAGAGATTTTAAGTTTACCTAATGTAACCAGATTGAAGTCCAAGTTGATAATTCCACATTGGATTAGGTGGATTGTCTTGTAAGATTGAATGTGAGATTTTCCAAGTCCAAAAAAATGAATTGATTAATGAATCTTGAGTGGTTTTACCTAATTCAATAAATGAATCTTTTGATGATTTGGTCCATTTTCTATGATCATTCCAATAACTAAAAAGTAATTCTTTTTGTTAGTTTTTGATCTTTGATTCCATCTTTTTTGTACTTACCTACAATCACCTATCTTTGGGATTTTAGGATCTGGTGAAGATGGGCTTGGATATGTTCCATCAAATCGACTACCTGATCCTACATTGTTTACAAATCTAATTTTCAAAGAATTCATTCTTCATCATCAATTTCTCTAACACATCAAAACAAGATATTCCATGAAACTCACATTCCACAATCGTTCACAGCCAACCTAAAAACCAAATCAAAGAAAATCATTCATATTTTCCAAAAAAATAAATCTAGTTTTTCAAAATCTCATCACTCACGACCATTCACCAGCAATAGCTAAACCAAAACTATCCATTGTAAAGTTTTGATGAGCAGACCATTGTTTACAAGGTTTAAATGAATTTGTCTCAAGACTATCATTATTTTGTGAACCAAAACATAAGTATGGATGTGTATCAAGTCCGACTCGATCTGATCCATTCATAAACCCTGACCATGGATTCTTTAATGTAGAACCAATACCTGAAACTCCTTGAAATCCATCATGAAACACTATGAACGGTCCATTTCCTTCTCCTTGACCACCTATGCTTCTAATCAATTTATATGACTCATAATACCTAAATCAGATTTCCTTACTTTATTAATTTATATGAACTTCAAAGGAATTAAGATTTGAAGATGTTTCATTCTTTGTGAGAAAAATAGCTCACCAAGATCTTAAAGCAGCACTTGTAATAGATCCAATCTTAGGTTCATTTAAAACTGAGAACATAGGTACTACATTTTTATATTTAGGTTGACTGATGAATTGGGTTAAAGTCATGATATAATTTAATGTTCTTTGTGCATTTACAATTCCCATTGGACCAGCAAGAAAGTTAATTTGTTTTCCTTGTCTTCCAGAATGATTCCATCCATTCTGTTTTTTAAAAGAATAAGTTAATAAAATGAAAATCATTAGAAAAAAATGTGATGTTCAATTCTTAAACTTACTTGTGAACCAGGAACAGCATGTAAATCTAAATTAAGCCTTAATCCATATTTCCTTGCCCAACCAAAAGCTTTATACAAATATTTCCAAGAAACACCAGATTGAAATGGTTCATCCTCTTGACTTTCAATCAACCACCAACCAATCGGAATCCTAATCCAATTCAATCCAGCCGAAGCAATTTGAGCAAAATCTTCTTCTTTAATAAAATCTTTATAATGATCTTCTATGACATTTTTAGCTGAATCACCTAAAGTTTTGATTAAACTCCATTCATCTATTGGTGGGTTTTCTGATTTGATGTAGGGTTCAAATAGGTATGGTGTGATGAATGGTTCAATGACTAACCAACCTCCTAGGTTGACTCCACGGATTTGATGCTTGTTGTAATCCCATGGTTCTTCTAGTGATGGTTGATCAGCTTGTGGTCTTGCAGTATCATTGAATGGAATTGAGACCCAAGTACCTCCTAAAGTGTTATTATATCTAAACACTTTACCTTCATCTGTCTTCAGTAGTCATTTTTTTATCACATTCATCATTCAATTTTTACATATCCAAACGTAAAGCATTTGGAAGTTGATAAGTTTTATACTACTTACAGTGATCAAATCTCCTCCTTTTCCCCAAAGTGCTTTATTTTTTGAATTTGGAAGTAGAGTTCCATTTTTAATGAGAAACTTCCAAAGGATAAAAGTCACTGCACAGATGAGGATCAAAATGATCAATAAGATGATCTTCCATATTGCACATTTCTTATTGTTTGAATTTTTCTTGGTCACCTAAATATGAAGAAAAAGTAAATGATATCAAGAATAAGATGAGTAAAGGTTTGATTGATTGAAGAACTTTGGATCAGAAATCATCATTTGAGGGATTTCACAAATCTTCTTGGTCTGGTATTCTATGAAAAAAACACTAACCATGGCTGGTATCCTAGATTTCACCATAGAGTTCCTAAGTGATTTTCTAATATTAAGATCTTTAGTAACACCAGGAGTCTCAGGTTGATTAAAAATATCAAATTCAGTATACCTAGATGTGTTAGGTACTCTAAATGACATTCTAGTTTTCAAATCACCCGATCTAACTGCATCTTCTTCACAATACAAATGCCAATCAAGATTTCCAACTGATGATTCAAGTTCTCTTTCTATACCTGAATCTGATTGCCATTGTGAATCTCGATGAGGATCATCATATATCCATGTTTTCGTAAGTTCTGATCTTTGGAATCTATATTGGTCTTCTCTTTCGTATCCTTGGTTTGATCTTTCTTCATGTCTTTGATGGTTTGGTTTTGACATTTCATTTGAAAAATAATGGGGTTTACAACTTCTTTTAGGGAGATCCTTGGAACTCTCTCTCTAATGATCCCTCTCTATATCCTTGGTACTCAAGCTAGAGATAATCAGAATCCAGTTTACATTCAGTAAGCAACAGAAAATCTTGTATTGAGAGAACTGAGCTGTAGGTTGAAAAACTTACTAGTATTGTTTGATTCACAGGAATTCTTGAAAAAAGAAAACGATGGTGATGTTGATGATGATTTTCTGGTAAGAGTTTTTCGATTTGAATTTGAAAAAGATCAACTGAGATTGGTTGTTATTCACAATTGTTTACAATTTCTGTTTGAAAGTAAAAAAAACTTTTAATGAGAATTGATAGAAGTTCAGAGGTGTATTATAAACAATCCGATTTGAATATTTTTGTCTTTGAGGAACATTTTGTTTTACCAAGATTAAAAAATATGAATAGGATTTGTATGAATTACATTTTTTTTGGTTGAAATTCTGAAGCTGTGTTTGTGTAAGATAGAAGTCGAGATTTGTAGGTTGGCAAGGTGAACAAAGGTTTTTAGGGAGAAAACAAAACGAGAACTGATCTACCGATGGATTGAAGGTTTTGTTGGTTTCCAAGATCAATTTTTATAACGATATGGAGTCAGATCGAAGTCATCCTCAAAGGAAATCGAATTCAGATCCATCGAACCTTTAGACAGATAGAATTCACACTGGATTATTCTTCAGCTTTTGAAAGAACCTTTTAAAGTTCACGAATAGAATGTATGCACACTACAATCTTCAAGGAGAAAGAGAACTGAACTCCATTTCATCATGAAGATGATATCTTCTCAGATCGACTTGACAAACTTGTATCACCCTCGTACGTCAATCATAGAAGACGGCTGAAGACGGGGCCTGGTGAAAGGACGAGGTATAATCGCCCTGTAAGTCTGATTATCTGGCGCGGTAGGACGTGGAAAAAATGGTCCACTGCCCACTTCACCGATAACTAAATATTCCATTTAACTTGCAAGGTGAGTCACACGCGCTCGCAAGATTGCATGAGTGAAGTCTACGATTGATCTCGCGATTGATTTGTCAGGAAGTAGATCAAAGGATCTTAAGCCGGAGGTTCCTTCAGCCGGTCTTTTTCAAGATTATTCATAGGTTCAATGTAAGTGGTTTATGCCAATTGAGATGATAATGAATCAGAGAAATAACACGAAATAGCGAAGATTGAATTACAGTAGATTTCAAAAAGAATGAAATCATGAAAAGCAAATATTTCAAAAGTGTTACCATCTTGAGCGGCGCAAACCGCAGCCACCTGTCAGATCTGCCAGATGTGGTAGGCCCATCCCGCACATCTTCTCAGATATCTGTCACGCATGAAATATACAGGGTCCTAAAAAAGCCCAGGGACTTGAAAAAAGAGAAAGCAAACCTTTCATGGTTCACCGGCTTTCACCTCTGTCCCCCATCTTGATCGAACACACCCAACCGAGTTTCTTTTCCATCCTGCTTCATCAGCCCCTCACCCCGATAATGGGGTTTCAATCTTACTCCGAGGATCTCAAGCTCCTGGCCACCCGGATGGCCATCGACGGCGTTAGTCTTGATGAGATCAATGTGACCTTACGAACATCGATTTCTCCAGCTTCGCTTTGGCGATGGAAGCAACTTTTGATTCATACCAACCGTGTTGTGCATGACCCTATGGATTATCAGCGCCGAGGCCGCCCTCATGTATTGTCAGACGATCAACTCGAGGTGCTCAAAGAACTAGTCATTCACTCACCCTCTGTGTACCTCGACGAATTACAGCGCCGCATGTTTGCTATCACCGGCGAATCTATCTCGCGTTCTACACTCTCTCGCGAGCTACATGAGCGCCTAGGCCTATCACACCTGGTCACTCGAGGCGTCCATCCGGGTCAATCAGAAGACGATCGAGCTGATTATATGATCCGGGTCGCCGGAATTCCTCCTGAGTATATGGTGTTCATTGGTAAGTTCGTGATGTCTATTGTTGATGGCTGTCGAAGATTTGAAAACTGATGGGAATGGTCTTTTATCAGATGAGTCTGGTATTAAGGGTATTGATTGTCTTCGCACTCGAAGCTGGGCCCCAACTGGCTCTTGTACAGTTCGTCAGACGCAGGAGACCGAGCAAGAGCACTGGACAATACTCCCTGCTGTGTGCGAACGGGGTATGATTGCGGCTGCAGTTCATGAAGGTCCTGTATCACGAGTTCATGTTGAGCTGTTTCTTGAACGCGAATTGGTAAGCTTACTACTATCTTGGTCTCTGGTGATTCCGGGTTGGTCCTGAACTTGCTTTGATTCATAGCTTCCAGTTATGAACCCTTATCCGGGGATCAATTCGGTCCTGGTGCTAGACAACGCCCGAATACACCATGGGGGTGTGATCAAACAACTTTGTAGGGAAGCTGGTGTCCTCCTCGTCTACTTACCAGCTTATTCTCCCGACTTGAATCCGATCGAAAACGCTTTCTTTGTCACGAAGATGAATTTGAAACGCAATCAGGGTTTCTTTGAGGCAGAAGACAAGGGGGATTATATACTGCTCCTTGCCGCACGTGTCATGACACGTTCTCTTTTACAACCTCTGATTTCTCATTGTGGCTACACCACATCTTATTATTGGGATCGATACAATCAAAAATTTGTCTAATGTTTTTGTGTTGAATGTGCTAATCGGTGAGGGCTGAGATATAAGATTTAGCCTAGTATAATCTCTTGTATCCTTTTTATCCTCTTCAGTTTGTTCTTCCTGAACAACGTTGTAAATTGGTGATTTGAAATTGTGAAACTGTATCAGTTCTGTTATTCTTGGTATAACTGAACTCGAGTTCGACAATGTGGCCTATGATTGCCTTTTGAAAGATTGAACCAAAAGAGTTTCTTTGAAACCGATCGAGTCAGTTCGATCGGACCGTCAGTTGATAGTACTAACGGTCTGATTGAACTGACTTGCACCCTTGAGCTCACACGAATAGCAGGTGTTGGTGTCTTTTTGACACCATGCGCCACCCAAACTAGTTTGCTGAGGGCTCAATAACGTAAGTGGTACACCAGTGGATAACTGAGGAGGTGAACGTTTATCGGTGAAACATTAGTCATGAACCTTTCTTGGTGAAACATTAGACATGAACCGAGAAAGGTATAATCACTCATCTACACGACGGTCAAGTGGCTGAAAGGATGGCACAAATATGTCATATTGGACATGAAGGGTGAACAAGGAAACCTTTCACTACACGTGTTATTTTGCATTTGGTTTGGCAAACAGGCATGTAGGTACAGCATTGGCATAAAGACACAAGGAACAATGACAAAAGTGAAATGCTGTTCTACACTGCCTTGTGGATCAAATTTCGCCATCACTGTCTTCGGTGGACTCTTCATCCGACTGACTACCATCCACACTGAATTCATTCTCGACTAAGATCTGGTAGTACTCCCGCGTGTGAGCCATGAGATCCATCGCAGTCCCCCAGGCGATACCAAAGCCAAGGAGATCTCGGGCGTTCAAAACGTCAGGGAATAGGAAACGATGAAACCCTTCGATTCCATGTTCAAGCAAACAGGAGCGTAACTCAATGATGTTTTGCTCCGGAATATGACAGAACCTCAAATACTTCTTCAAACTAGTTGTTCGGGCGAGGCGTTTGAGGGTGACGTAATCTATGGTTATGTCAATGCCGTTCATTTCGGCATAACCGTATCTGACCACAACTGGCCGGTTGTCTTGCAATCGAGCTCGTTTCGGATTGGTCAACGGGGTGGTGGCCGATAGAGGACGCTTGGAATTGGTCCATTCAAACCCCTCGAGGTGGACAGGAGGTTTGTCCAACGTGACATCATCGGTTCCATTGGCCTGGTGAACCCGCCAAGGTTAGAGTGATGAAGAGAGCAATAACGATATGAGGAAACAAAGTAGGAACCCAAGACCCACCAATTCCCTAGCCCAAATGATCATGTGTTCAAAAGTCAACTTCATCGTCTTGGTCAATTCGTCTTTGTCCACCAGTAGCAAGCCTTCCTTCCCATGGGTCAAACGAGACCCGTGATGTCTGTTCAACTCCTTCAGCCACTTTTTCTCCGCAGTCTCGGGAACAGTCCGTGCGATTTGCAAAGGAGTCGTTGTAGTTTTGTTTTGAGTATTCACGGCTATGATCGCAGCCTGATCAAATGATAGATTCTGAGGAAACTGATTGGTCAGCTTATCAGTTTCTTAGTTGGAGTAAAAGAAAAAGAACTTACAGCATTCATTTGCGCTAAAGCCTTGATTGGATTGACCATTGATACCACTATACCAGCTGGTTTATCCGATTCGTTTTGGACCGCTTCAAAAAAAGCTTTGATATCGGCATCGCAAGTCAGCTCGTGACCTTTTCTTCGGTTCCAAGTCTTGCTTCCAGTGATGTAGACAGTGATGGTGACCGGATTGGTTGCATCCGCATTTTGGAAGATCAAACTGGCTCCCTCGCGCTTCTCGACTATATCAGCCAGGGAGAAAAGTCGTGTTTTCAAAGGGATGTACAAGTGGTTCAAGAGATCAAATTCGTGCTCGGAGTCCTTGATCTTGTAGTGTGTGTAAGTAGTCCGCGCTTTGGCCTTGATGCTGAGGGCTCCCTTCGTTAAGTCCACACCTCGGGCAAGGTACATGACAAACGAGACGGTGAGATCCTTGTGAGTAATCGGAGGAGGAGTCGGAGCGGCCACTTTGGCTTTTCGTTTGACTAGAACCAACCCAATACAAGGTTAGGTTCAGTCCGTTCTGAAATTATATATAATTTAATACCAGGCTTACCGGCGACTTTGGTAGGACTTGGCTCAGGAAGGATCTCATCTTCGTCGGGATTGATGACATCCTCATTGGACAAGATGTACTGGAATTCCGGACTCGCTTCCGGCTGATGTTGAAAAATTCCCGAAGGGGGATCAAGGCCGCCTGGGATGAGGTAAGGCCAGTTGCGAAGTTGAACACCAGCTGGCCCGTTCCAATCGAGTAGGACCCCATTTTGCTCATGCCAATCACCGCTGCTACTGGTCCCATCAGGGACATCAGACGGGGCAGTCAAAATGGGGGTGCCATCTGGGCCATCACGGAGCCTGACATCCCAATCGAGGTAGTTAGTGAAGTGGAAGCAAATAGGAAAAAAAACACACACACCAGAGATGGCTAGGGTTACTGTTCTCTTCGGTGAAAGCCCTGTTGTAATCATTGATGTGCTCTTGATTCTCTTCAGGAAAAGCCCCATTGTAAAATTCAACTTGGTGTTGAATGTCTTCGGAAAAAGCACCATTGTAATGCTCATCTTGGTGTTGACCTGATAAATTGTTTTGAGACATTTTTAAAAGCAATTAAGGATTTGCAGTTTATGGAAAGCTTGGATAAAGAATAGTCAAAGCGGAAAAAATTGTGAGAACAAGGATGATGAAGCCGCGTGAGTGCGTTACTGAACGGGGTGGAGGGGACGGCCGGCGGCCAATTGAAACCAGTCATCAAATTTTTGGAACATATTGGGGGCCCTCCTGTCATTCGTGAAGACGTGCAAGGAGAAGGTCGATTACGTTCAAGAAGCGCTGAAGACCACCTGGCGTGACTAAATATTTGGCATGATCAGCGGGATGGGCCTGCCGGATCTGGCAGATCTGGGCAGTAGCTGCGGTGATGCGGCTCAAGATGTTGAAACTTGAAAAATATTTTGATTTCATGATTTCATTCTTTTTGAAATCTACTGTACAACAAAACTAATCAACAACACTCACGAGAGAGAGAGAGTCAAGAAGCCAAAAGAAAATTGAGAACAAGTTAGGGCCCGTTCGGCTGATTTGGCCAAAAAAAGTTACACAAAAACGAAATTTCAATCTGCCCATCAAAAACTCTTTTTGATGGGCGGATAGAGATTGTCGTTTTAGATTACCGAACAGTCGTCTAAAATGGTCAACGAAAGATCAAAATGATCATCGTTGACCGTTCATCATCCATTTGACTGTTCGGTAACCATGAAATGAAATGAGTTTTTCGATCGAAACTTGAAAATCGATCGATTCTTTTTTAAACTCATCCATCCTTTCGTCACGGTCATCATCGACCAAAATCATCGTCCGTTGACCAAAATCATTGTCCCTTCTGTATCATCAGACAACAATTCCCGTGATTTAAAACATCATGGAGCACCGTCCACGCTCTTCCCTTCAATCTCTCACACCTGAGAAACGTGCCAAACATCAAAAACTGCTCAAACTACAGTTTCTCAAACAGCTTCTTGCTGTTCAACACCAACAATTTCAAGTGTTTTGTTACTTTAGCACTGGTGTACAGGCCTGTGCAGCTCAAATCTTGCCTCATCTCACAAAAACTCCGCGTCTTACGTCCATCCTCAGCGGTCAGGCTTGGATTGATGAGCTCATTGCTAGTCCAAACAACTCGGTTTTCTATGATAATCTTGGAATGAACAAACACGTTTTTTTCGAACTACGTTCAGTACTCGAAGAAACTGGAATTTTATATGACTCTCGTTGGATCACCGGAACTGAGAAGTTGGCAATACTTATCTATACAGTCATTACCGGCCTGTCTAATCGTAAACTCCAGAACCGTTTTCAAAGATCGGCTGATACTATTTCCAAGTAATTCATTTATCATTGATTTTTTTTTATTTTCGAATTTTCTCATCACTATTCTGACACGTCTTCTTTGGGCTAGGACAATCAATCACCTTGTTAAAGGAATCTCCAATCAAGGAGAATTACTTGCCAAATACATCACTCTTCCAAATGCCAACACTCCTCACCCCGATACCTTTTCGGACAATATGAAGTTCATGCCGTATTTTAAAGACTGCATTGGTGCAATCGACGGTACACACATTCCGGTCACTCCGCCAGCTTCTGAATATATTCCTTTCTCTAATCGTAAAGGCTATACATCTCAAAATGTCCTTGCTGCGTGTAATTTCAATATGGAGTTTATTTATCTATTAGTCGGAGCTGAAGGAAGTATGGCAGACGGTGCTCTTTGGACTTTGGCTCGAAGTCGTGATCTTACAATTCCAGCTGGAAAGTATTATCTTGGTGACGCTGGCTTTGCTCTCACCGAAGATTGTATTGTTCCATATAGAAAAGTCCGTTATCATTTACGAGAGTGGGAAAAAAAAGGTTTCAAGTGAGTTTGTTTCTTTGTTCAACTTTTTGGTCATCAATCTCATACTTGTGTTTGTCTTTCTTCTTCTCACCACTCCTATCTTTTCATCTTAGACCAATGAATAAAGAAGAACTATTCAATCTTTGACACGCTAGTGCACGTAACGTCATTGAGCGTATCTTTGGAGTTTGCAAGAAGCGCTTTAAGATCATGGCGCATGGGTGTGAATACACCATCGAGATTCAAATTTCAATGGTCACTGTTATGTGCTTCATTCACAACTTCATTCGTGTTAAAGATCCAAAAGGTTCAGCTGAAGAATTCCCTCAATTTGGAGAAGGATTCATTCCCGACCCTCAAGATAATACGCAAGCGCCTACTCAAGAACAATCTGGTTATCTTCAAGAATTTGGTAGTAATGTTGATGGTAATAACTACGCTAAACAACTCAGAGATCAAATTGCAGAAGACATGTGGGCAGATTATCAGAAAGAGATTGCAAGAAGAGAAAAGATAAATAAAAATAACCGAAAACATCGGCAACCTCTTACGTTTCCTGATCTTTAAAGCATATGTAGCTATTGTGATTCTTATTTGGCAACTCTCATTAAAGTATTTTTAATTCATACATGTATCATTTATCACAAGTATCATAACTATTTTTATCTTACATGTATCACAAGTCTCACTTATAAGTATTTTTATTTTGCATTCATTAATCAAATATTT